GATTGTACATACAAAATTACTGAATTCTAAGAAGTTAAAAGAACTTTGATTACTCATATACATAAAAAGGAAAATGGGAACATGCTGTAGAGAAAGATGTAACATAGCTAGTTAAAAAAAAGTCATTAGAGTAATTTTCTATAGTTAATTAGTTGGTCCCTAACAGCTACTTTAAGCTGTTAATGTCAGTTAATTAGAGATAAAACTAATCCTATATATATCTCTAATCTTTGTACAGATGGGGGTAGTGTAATGAAATACAATTCTCCCATTACACGCATACTTCTCCTTCTCTCTATTTCTCTGCTTCTTCCTTCTTCTTCTTCAACTGGGTAAGCACCCATTATCAGTTCATGGTATCAGAACAGTCAAGCTAAACTATTAAGCTTGAAACTTGATTCTTCATTTCCGCAATTTTTCAAATCGTAAATCAATTTTTCAATTTTTTTGAATTCTTGAAGAAACTTGGCTATGGCGATTGATGAACAACCTGTTCCAGCTGGGAGTCAGACTTCAAATTCCGGCCAAGGAGTTCTGCCTACAATTGCTCCAGACATTGACTACAATCCCCCCTTATTTTTGAGTCCGTCAGATGTAAGTGGTATACAAATTATCTCCTTTCAATTGACTGGTATTGAAAACTATTCTCTGTGGTTTAGGTATATGAGAATGGCATAGTTAGGAAGAAACAAATTGGGATTGATCGATGAAACTTGTTCCAAAGAAAATTTCCCAAAAAGTATGTGGAATCACTGGGAAAAGGGTAAATACGATTGTGCTATCTTGGTTAATGAATTCTGTTAGTAGTGGCTTACTTGGTGGTATAATGTATGCTTCAAGTGCTCAAGCCGTGTGGAATGACTTGCATGAAAGGTTTGATAAAATAGATGGCTCAAGATCCTACAATTTACATAAAGAAATTGCCAACATAAGTCAAGGAACTGTATCTGTGTCAGCATATTTTTCAAAACTTAAAGATTTGTGGGAAGAATTTGAAGCCTTGGTTCCTGCTCCTGGGTGTGATTGCCCAAAATCAAGAGATTTCGTGGTTCACTTGCAAAAATTAAAATTGTTTCAATTCTTGATGGGCTTAAATGATTCCTACAGCCAAGCTAGAAGTCAGATTCTGTTGATGAGTCCTATACCAACAGTCAATCAAGCATACACTATGGTGATTAGTGATGGGAGTCAAAAGTCAGTTGTTGGTTTACTAGGGGCAAATCCTACTACTGTTACTGGGCAATATGATGTGGCAGTGTACACCAAGACTGGAGAAAATTTTCAAAAGTCTAGGAAGAATTTCAATCTATTTTGTGATTTCTACAAAATGAAAGGTCACTGTAAAGAAAATTATTACAAAATTGTTGGTTATCCTACAGATTACAGACCAAGAAAGAAGAATGCCAATACTCATAGTGCATACAATGTGCTGTCTCAAATAAGTATGCAAAACAATCAGCTGCCAAGAGGGAACTGGACTGAAAACAACTTACAAAATTCTCAATTGACAGGTAATACAATGGGTACTACTAACTCACATAAGATGGGGCAGGTGAACAATGCTCCTTTGCTGGGAAACTGCACATTTACTAAAGAACAGTTTGATCACATTGTGCAACTCCTAAACAAAAATAACTTAGCTTCTTCTGCAGCACCTCCATCAACCAATGCAGCAGGTATACCCTGCGCTTTAATAACTTCAGATAGTTTACAAGATTGGATAATAGACACAGGGGATACAAACCATATGGTAGCTGACCTAGAGTTATTAAACAAAGCCTCTTTAGTTCAAACAAGCCAGCCAAAGAAAGTACATCTACCTAATGGAGAAATAACTCAAGTCACACATATTGGAACTAGTACTTTATCAGATCAAAACACAATAACTAATGTGTTTTATATTCTTCAGTTCAAATATAATCTTCTGTTAGTTTCTAAACTAACCAAGGAACTGAAATGCTCAGTTGCTTTTTTTCCTGATTTTTGTGTGTTTCAGGAATTCTTCAGTGGGAGGGTGAAAGCGATTAGTAGAGAAGACATTGGTCTCTACATCCTCAGCAGACAAACAATACCGGGAAGTGATACAATTAGTTTAGCAACAAAGGAGACAGAAGCAAATGAAGAGATTAGTTCTAGTGATATAGATCTTTGGCATAGAAGGCTTGGTCATGTGTCTACTACTGTCCTTAAGAAGCTACTACCAGTCAAGACGCAAGATATATCTGTTAGAATAGACACATGTAGTGTATGCCCTTGTGCAAAGCAAACAAGGCAACATTTTCCTGTCAGTAGCATTAAAATTACTACTTATTTTTAATTAGTTCATATGGATTTATGGGGGCCTTATAAAGTGCCTACTATGGATGGAAATATTTTTTTTTTAACTTTAGTTGATGATTTTACTATGATGATATGGATATTTCTATTGAGAATGAAGTTTGATGTATGCGTGGTTATACAACAATTCTTTGTCTTTGTGAAAAAATAGTTTGAGACAACAGTGAAAACAATTCGAACAGATAATAGGACAGAATTTTTTAACTCAATCTGTGGAAGTTTGTTCAACAGTCTAGGAGTAATTCATCAGAATACATGTCCATATACTCCTCAGCAAAATGGAGTAGCTGAGAGAAAACATAGACACATCCTAGAACTAACTAGAGCTATCAGGTTCCAAGTTGAAATACCTATCAAATTTTGGGGATATCGTGTACTTGCTGCTGTTTATCTCATTAACAGACTGCCTAGCTCTATCATTGATAACAAAAGTCCCTATGAAAGATTGTATAGCAGAAAACCAACATTATAACATCTTAAGGTTATAGGCTGCTTATGTTATGCTAAGATAATTCAACAACATAATAAACTAATGCCTAGATCAAGACCATCTGTACATATGGAATATGCTACAACTCAAAAAGGATACTTATTATATGATTTAATATATAGAGTATTCTTTGTAAGTAGAGATGTTCAATTTAGGGAAGGTATATTTCCCTTCAAGAACAAGCAAGGCAACAACCAGTCTATATTCATTCACCCCAACATAGAAGACAACTTATTTCATACTACAGATTCAATCACATATCCTACAAGTACTGGAAGCCACATACATACAACTCAACAGGAAGTTCTTACACCACCAGAGTTCACACAAGATCTCACACAACATACTGAATCTATTCATTCAGAAATCTTACAGCAAACTACTCAACATACATCAACCATACAATCACCAATAATTCAAGTATCACAGGCTGTTCCTATTAGTCTTCCAGATCAGCCAGATATCAGAAAGTCATGTAGAGGAAAGAAACCACCTATATGGATGAAAGATTTTGTTTCACTGAATGTTCATCAAGATGAACCTTATGCCATATCAAAATTCCTGGCCTATGAAAATCTAACATATAGATATCAAGCTTATTTGACAGCTGCTTCAAATATTATTGAACCAACCTTCTACTCAGAACCTGTGAAAGATCCTAGGTGGGTTGATGCAATAAAGACTGAGATTGAAGCCTTACAAAACAACCACACTTGGGACATAGTATCATTGCCTGAAGGTAAGATTCCAATATGGTGCAAATGGATTTATAAGATAAAGTACAAAACGTCAGGTGGAGTGGAAAGATTCAAAGCTAGGCTAGTGGCAAAATGATTCAGTCAAAAGGAAGGAATAGACTATCAAGAAACCTTCTCTCCAGTCATAAAAATAAAGGCTGTAAGGACTGTACTGGCTCTAGCTGCTACAAGGAATTGGCATATACACCAAATGAATGCATATAATGCTTTTTACAAGGAGATTTGTTTGATAAAATTTACATGACTCTGCCACAAGGATTCACAAGTCAGGGGGAGAACAAAGTGTGTAGACTTGTTAAATCCTTGTATGGCTTAAAACAAGCTCCACGTCAATGGAATGCTAAGCTAACAGAAGCTTTACTAGGCTCTCAATTTCAGCAAAGCCAATATGATCACTCTCTGTTCTTTAAGAAAACTACAGAAGGCATTACAATGGTATTGACTTACGTAGATTATATGCTCATTACAGGTGATTGTCTGAGATTAATAGAGGAAACCAAAGCAAATCTACATCAAGCCTTCAAAATGAAAGACTTAGGAGAATTGAAATATTTCTTAGGCATAGAGTTTGCTAGATCAAAACAAGGAATATTTATGCATCAGAGGAAATATGCCTTAGAACTTATTTATGAAATAGGTCTTGCAGTTGCTAAACCAGCAATTACACCACTGGATGCCAATATGAAACTCACAACAACAGAATATGATGAACATCTTAGAAGAACTAAGCCTACTGCACTGTTAGATTAAGAACTGTCAGATTCAACTCCCTATCAAAGACTGATAGGTAAACTCCTATACTTAATAATAACAAGGCCAGACATCTCATTCAGTGTACAAACACTAAGTCAATTTTTACAAAAACTAAAGAAATCTCACATGGAAGCAGCTCTAAGAATTGTGAAGTATATCAAGAACAGTCCTGGACAAGGGATACTATTCTCCAGTAAATGCAACAGCACAATTTCAACATATTGTGATGCAGATTGGGTTGCTTGCCCACACTCAAGGAAATTTGTCTCAGGTTATCTAATCAAATTTGGAGACTTCTTAATATCATGAAAATCAAAAAAGCAAATCATATTTTCAAGAAGCTTAGGAGAAGCTGAGTATAGAAGTCTTGCAGCAACTGTGGCAGAACTTATCTGGCTAGTGGGGTTTCTAAAAGAAGTGGGAGTTGATACCCAACTACATGTGGAGATATTCAGTGATAGCAAAGCTGCAATGCAAATTACAGCAAACCTTGTTTATCAAGAAAGGACAAAACATATCGAGATCGACTGTCACTTCATTAGAGAAAAAATCATACAAGGTCTAGTCAAAACAACATACATCTCTACTAAAGAACAACCTGCAGATCTGTTGACTAAGGGACTCAACAAAGTTCAGCACGAATATCTTTCTTCCAAGCTAGATGTTCTTAATATATTTTCAGTACCTAGCTTGAGGGGAGTGAAGAGAAAGATGTAACATAGCTAGTTAAAAGAACGGCATTAGAGTAATTTCCTACGGTTAATTAGTTAGTCCCTAACAATTACTTTAAGCTGTTAATGTCAGTTAATTAGAGATGGAACTAATCCTATATATATATCTCTAATATTTGTACAGATGCGGGTAATGCAATGAAATACAATTCTCTCATTACACACATACTTCTCCTTCTCTCTATTTCTCTGCTTCTTCCTTCTTCTTCAACTAGGTAAGCACCCATTATCAGTCCACAGGCTAGTCAATGTTAAGTAGCTACAAAGTTCAGGAATCAGGTTCCAAGACATTTCATCAAATTACTAATATTTACATTCTTGTACATTTTTATGCAGCAAGTTTCAGTAGAGATTCAGGAGGATCGTCGAAAACGGAGACCTTCAGTTCATTTGTATTGACAAGCTGAAAAACACAGACATCTCCTTCTTTAAGTTTGTTATCTTTCACAAACTGTTTCCACCCTCCACAAAAAGCATGGTATCCTTTTTGTAATATACAATTCACTTTCCATTGTTTTCCTTCTGAATTACTGAGTACAACTGTTGTCTTATTGGCTGATTCTGAAAGTTGTTCACACAAAGGCTTTGGAACATACTGCATTAGAATAACTTGGTTAATAAAATATAGGGAAAAAGGGTCGGATATACCTCTCTACTATCAAAATTGTTTAAATCTATCACCCACCGTTCACATATACCCCGCCGTCCATCAAAGTTTTAAATACACCCATTTTTAACGGATATGACACGTGGCGACCTCTAATAATATTTCCCAACCCGGAAACAAGAAAAAACAGACTAAAACCCATGTCTGACCGACCCGTTTCTCTCTTAAAACCTTTTAGTCTGGTTGGTTTTTTTTGTTTGTTTCTGGGTTAGAAAATTCGGCAAAGGGCCAAATATATCCCTCTATTTTCGAAAATGGTCTAAAAATACCTCTCGTTATACTATTGGGTTATCTATACCCCGCAGTCATACTTTGGGTTCAAATATACCCCTCATTTAAACGGAGGATCACGTGTCATCGTCCTGTTGGTCAATTCTAAATATCTCCTAATTAATTAAAAAGACTCATTACCCACACCCGAAAAGTAATTTTTTTTTGTAAAAACTGAAAAAAACTGAAATTATTTTTACTAAAAACTGAAAAAATGAAAATATTTTGTTTTTCAGTTTTTACAAAAAAACTGCTTTAGAAAAAACTGAAAAATATTTTCTAAAACAATATTTCTGTAAAAACTGAAAAAAAAAGCTGAAAATCAATTTTTCAAAGCAATATTTTTTGTAAAAACTGGAAAAAATTGAAATATTTTTTACTAAAAACTGAAAAACACGAAAATATTTTTTTTCCAGTTTTTACAAAAAAACTGCTTTTAAAAAAAGCTGAAAAATATTTTCTAAAACAATATTTTTATAAAATCTGAAAAAAAAACTAAAAAGCAATTTTCTAAAGCAATATTTTTGTAAAAACTGAAAAAACAAATATTTTTTTTTTCAGTTTTTAGTTAAAAATATTTCAGTTTTTAATTGCTTTAGAAAATTACTTTTCAGTTTTTTTTATAGTTTTTACAAAAATATTATTTTAGAGAATATTTTTCAGTGTTTTTAAAGCAGTTTTTTTGTAAATACTGGAAAAAAAAAATATTTTCATTTTTTTCAGTTTTTAGTAAAATTTGTTTTTAGTTGTTTCCAGTTTTTACAAAAAAATTATGATTTTTCGAGTATGGGTAATGAGTCTTTTTAATTAATTAGGAGATATTTAGAATTGACCAACAAGACGATGACACGTGTCACTCCGTTTAAATGAAGAGTATATTTGAACCTAAAGTATGAGTGCAGGGGTATAGATAACCCAATAGTATAACGAGGGGTATTTTTAGACCATTTTTAAAAGTAGAGGGGTATATTTGACCCTTTGCCGTAGAAAATTTGATTAGAGGCCGTCACATGTCATGTTTGTTAAAATAGGGGTATATTTAAAACTTTGATGGACGGCAAGGGTATATGTAAACGGAAAGTATATCTGGAGGATAGATTTAAACAATATTTAAAACTTTGATGAAGGATCGGGTATATGTTTTACATTTCATATAGCTTACTGGTCACAAAAATCAATAAAGCATGGAATTAAATTAGTTTTAGAAAGTACTTACTATGAAACAGGACTTGTTCACATTGTAGCCTTTCAAACATTTCACAAATTGAGGAATATCTGGAGTTAGAAGGACCTCAGTTTTCTCAAGTGCAACTTTTTTTCTTGGAGTTTCATGTTCTGAAGAAAACACAACATAGCACATTGAGTTAATTCAACTTATTACGCTGTAATAAATCATAAAATTACAAATTAAATCACCAGACCTGTGCCATTTTCAACGTCCACATGAGTCTGTTTAGGGAATTTGGAATTGTAAGGGTATTTTGGTGGCATTTTCTGGTTCTTGTCCATATCAAATATTGAAGCTTTTTGATTTTTGTCCATGTTTATTGACTTCACTTCTCTCTCCATTCCATTTTTGCTGAAAATTCTTATTGTAAATTGTAGAGCCCCGTCGTACCTAAACAAGAGAAACTCCCCACCTTCTATATGGTTATCTTTGTGGAATTTCTCCCAACCTTGGTTTATAAGCAACCCATTTTCATCAATGTGTAATTTTACATTCCAAGTGCCTCCAGAAAGACATTTCAGAGTTGCTTTATCAGGTGAATCTTCTGAAATATGCCTTAGAAAATGGGCTGGTATTCTCTGCAAATTAATAGAGAGTCAAAAGCTAGAGTAACATTAGATGTGTTTGGTATGAAGAAAAATATTTTGCAAATATGTTCTCTAAAATACTTTTTTAGGGAACATGGTTGTCATTTTCCTTCACAATTATCTCAACTCTTATTCTGCAGCTTTAACCAACACTTAATCATTCTTACTCAAAAACATCTATCACTATTCTATACAATTTGCTAATTGTATTATCCATCTTTTATACTATTTTTTTGGGGAAAATATTTTTCACCTTCTGGTCAAACTGAAAAACATTTTTCAGGAAGATTTTTTGAAAAAATGACTTTCTTGACATACTAAAAACTTCCTCAGTAGCAGCTCATATAAAGATCGGCAGAGAACATATTAAAGCAGAAAAACAAAGAGAAAAGTAGGCATATGCTTGTAAAATGATGAAGGAAAGAAGAATATTACCAGTTCACTCTTGACTGTAGGATTAAAAATCTTGAAGAAGACTGCTCTTCTATCTATCTTCTTTAAGGCGTTTTCTGTCATCACAAAAGCAGTTGCACTGGTCTTTTAATTTAACAACATCTCTTTAGAGCTAAAGTTTTATTACAGGACCTAGAGTCTTTATATCAAAAGGAAATTAAAAGAGTGAAATAATGTCCTTTAAACGTTCAGTCTTACCTACATTATTATTATTATTATTATTATTAGAATTGATCAGATTTCCTTATTAGGTTATAATCATGGAGCAATAATGAAGATAAGTTGCAAAACTAAATACCAAGAGAAAGAAATATGAAGATGGCAAATTTTCCCAAAAGGAAATTAAAGAAAAAGTAGTAGAAGAGGTTGTTGATTCACATAATTGGAGGGTAGGACCGACCTTACAAGAAAAATATAGAAAGTTGCTAAAAATAGTGTCTGAAATGCATGAGAGGATGGGAGGATTCAGGAACAATACAGAGCAAACTGATGGTTTGACACCAATATGGCGTTTACGGCTTGGAGTGGAAGTAGGAGAAGCCAAGCCGTATTATATTCTAAAGAGGATTTTCACATGCAAGCCATATTGCGTCTGCAACATAAAAATCAATCCCAAGCCGTGTTTTATAAGTCGGGGGCGCCTCGAGGCATGGGGATGGATCTTTAGAATTTTAATTTATAAACTAATAAATTAGCATAATAACATAAAAACTATAGAGAGTACATTAAAATCTAAGATGATTAAAGAAACTCATAGAAAATAAAATATCTAGCATGTTTGTACCAATATAAACAATCAATAATGTTAATGTTACTACGTAATACAAATAAAGTATAATGTCTTAACTTTCAAATAATAAGAAAATTATAATTTCTTAATAAATATTATTGAACTAAATATTTTACCTTCCTAAATGTTACTTAATAATTAATAAACTTCACCAATTCTGTAATTTAAAACATTTCTCCTTCATGAATAAGTACAAAATTATTTTCAAATAACAAAATAATAAAAGTTTGATAATTTTGAGAGACACATAACTAAGACATGAAGCCCATAGCAAGTGAAGATATAAATTTTCGTTATCTATTTTAGAAGAATATTCAAAAAATATTTATCCTCACAGTGTTCTCAGTTAGTAAATATGCAATATTATAACTCGTTATTTGATAAGACTTTATCTTTTATTTGTTAAAGAATTTTGAAGGTCTACAGTGCTAATTAGGAAATTTGACATATGATTTGAGTAAGAACTGTTGGGCGAGGCCCGAATGTTGGACGTTAGATGTGTTAGAACGCGCAGTCGGGCGCTTGAGGCGTAAGCCTCATAAAATTAAGCCGACTGCGCTTGAGGCGTAAGCCTCATAGAATTAAGTCTCACACGTAAGTGACGTTTTGATAGTGCCCTTCCCAGCGACGAGTCCCAAAAAAAGCCTTTAAAACACTGATCCCAAGTACATGTTCTACATTAAGTATGGATTAATAGCATGAAAATAAAAAAACTGACTGAATCCAATCAAATTGCAAATTAAACTTACTTTCCTCTTTCAAGCTTTAAATTTTTATACAACGACGGTAAAGAATTTTTACACAATCTTTATCTTGTAGTTGCGCATAAAGTTTTTACAGAATCAGGCAACTATTAATATTGAATGTGGGCAAAATCTAAGAAGTTATGTAGCATGCTTCAATCGGCCAAAACTACGACTTCCGTTAAAAATTTATACGGCTAAAATGAACTAAAATCAATTCCTTCATTCTTCCATTCCTACAGGTGTAATTACGATATCCGTTGAATTGTTACAGCGCAGTCCTAGCAATTAGTTGCAATATTTCAGAAAGTAATTGAAAGGCCCAAGCCTGTTACAGTTGAATGTGGAGCCAAAAGCCCAGTAGTATAATTTTCCTCTGTCCCCACTAGATCAAAGGAAAGGTCAAGGAGCCAGCAGCAAAAACTAAGAGATGATATTAAAGCAAAATTTGGACTCATAATGAAGTGAATTTAGTATGACTAGCATCAGCCCGACTGGATATCATCCAATTGAGGTGGTTCCAAATGAATATACAAGACTGCACACCAAAACCGACTACTGTACAGATTCTAATGCACACTGTACAATAAGAAGCAAAAGTAGAGCATTTGTTCCTACTTTTGGCATCCCATAAAAGAATTTCCTGCATTCCAAGATGCTAGACTGAAAAAAGAATGAATCTGACAAAATCAAGTCACTAAGTTTTCATACCCCTGCTTAGATTCACTCGCCTTCCCAGCTTTTCAGGAGGATTTGGAATCTATAGCCAGAGAGCCGAGTTAACGAGCTCATTAACTTCTTTTCTTTATCAAGTAGCGCATAAACATAGTTACTGAGAAAGAAAAAGTGCCATAGCCTACACAGGTTGAGCTTGTGCCTTTTCATGGATATCCTTCACAACATCCCTCAGCTCAGGGAAGACTGATATTAGTACAAGTTCAAGGACACCATATGTAAGCTGCTTTAAACAGATGGTAGACTGCACATACAATTCATTTGTCATTGTTAGTTCAGCGGAAAAAAACATGTAAATAGGAAACCAATGTTCTCGCAACGAGGTCTTTACCTGAAGGAAATAATACAAATCTCTAGCACAACGTCTGTACTGCTTGTGCCCAATTAAGCTGACCAATGTGGCGGGAGCACCATCTAAGAATTTAAA